CATAAACCACCCCCACATCATTTAACCCCTGTGAGAGCAACGAGCCGAGCAACGCCATCCTGGGAAACCTTTTATTTCCACCTCCATCACCAACAAATATTTCCATTCCCAATAAAATCTCACAATATTTCTAATGAAATATATATAAGTTAAAAGCAAGGGGTGAACACAATAAATAAGTATAAAAGCACTGGACAGACATGATAAATATAAATATAAGTATAAATTGGGGTGACTTGGGCCCACGGGGCCCAGAGCTGCTATTTCACCTGAAATAGATGGGGAGGACAGCGGTCTCAGCTGGGGTGTTTGTACTCGGTACATACAGCCTTAAAACCGGCAACTGCCGGTTGGGTTGGGTTGGGCACGGGGGCTCCTCAGCGACTGCTCAGCTCGTAGGTGGCGATGTTGACCTGATCAGGCTGGTTGGTGATGCCGACGGGCTGGCGAGGCGGCAGGGAGGTGCAGATGAACCAGCCGGGGAAGGCGGCTGACTCGAAGCGGGTGGTCCCTTCATTTGGGCTGTCCAGGCGGTAGAAGATGAAGCGGGTCAGCTCCACGCTCTCGATGTCCCTCCTGATGTCAGCTTCCTACAACCAGGGGAAGAAATGCGGTTCAGGGTGGGATGGAGCCCCCAGCCCCATGGGGGACGGACCCGGCAGGACCCCCCACTCACCTCCAGCTGCAGCACGGGCTTGGTGCCGCTCATCACACATGACATGTAGAGTTGGTAGCCCTTGATGCCCAATGCCACCGGCATCCGCCCAGTCCCCGGGCCACCCTGTGATGACCGGGTACGGTACAGAGCAATGTTGAGCTTCACTGCAGAGAGAAGGGATGGGTTAACAGGTGGTCCCAGGGCTGCGGGCTGGCTCCCAGGTGCTCCTGGGGTCGGGGACAGGAACATTGGGTCAGGACTGTATCCCCTCACCTTTCCGCCCCGCAGAGGGTCCCTGCAGGTGCAGGGCCACCAGCTGGGTGGGCGACTCCAGCACAAAGCACTTTTGGTCAATGTCGAGGATGTCGAAGGACTGGGAGCGGGTGTAGCGGTAGACAGGTGCCCCGGCGTAGCTGCTCTCAATCTGCTGGAAGGAGACGGGATCTGCGGGAAGGGAGATGGTCAGGAGGATGCTGATGCTCCCAGGTTCAAGAGCATCCCCAACAGCATCCCCCGGCTGGGGTGACACCCCTGACACCACCCCCCCATACCGAAAATATTATCCAGGAAGTCCCCAAGGTCACTGTCAGCAAAGTCCCTGTGCGCTGGCCGCTTCAGGAGCTTGGTCATGGCCACCACAAGGACGGCGGCCCGGCGAAAGATCCTGACAGGGTGTTGGTTGGTCACCATCACCTGGATGCCCACCCCAGGCGATGTCACCTCCGAGTCCAGGTGGGGTTTCTGGGGAGGAAAAGGGACATGGGGTGAGAGCCCGGCTTCCCCATCATGGGGGTCTCCTCGTCCCCACCGCCCCAGTGTTACCTTCTGTGGGCAGACGCAGTCAGGGCCATAAAACGTCTCCTCATTCAGGCTGAAATGCAAAGGGAGATAGTGAAGCCAGGGCCACCACGGCACCAGGGCGGCATCGCGTCCCTGTGGTGGTGCATCTCCCCCCGCTTTTCTTTCTTTGACCACTTTATGATTTCAGGAATTCCTGCCAGACCGCGGCCTGGTGTAGTGAGCTGGTCAGTTAGGCACCCCTTAATTGTACCAGACACTCCTACATGGCTGACGCGGAGAGCGGTCCTATCTTTATTAGAAACTCCATATTATGGCTAACGAGGGGAGCGAGAACAATCAGCTACCCTGACAGCCTTGAAACAGAGCGGTATCATTATTACCAGAATTCCAGCAATTACTGACCCAGATCGTGGCTCAGATGGAGATTTACAATGACTAAAGCCAATCATCTCACGATCCTATAAACAGCAGTCCTAAGTGAGGCCCTTGGAGCTCTCCTGGACTGCGGCGGGCTGCGCCAGCACCTCGCTCTGAGCGGGACGCCTCTCAGAGCCAGCAAGCTCTGAAAGTTTGCTAAAATCGGAGGTCCATTGCTGAAGAGCGACGGTGGAGCCTGGGCTGAAACCCTTTGCTCCTCGAGGCTCCACCCTTGCCCGTTGAGAAATGCCAAGACATTCGATGTGAGTATTTCACTGAACTCGAGGGGGATTTGTAGCAGATATACCTTTATATATATATGTATATAAATA